TCGAGTAATAACCAGTATTGCTTTATATCAAGTATGGAGTTTGTACGAGGATATGATAACTCTTTAGTTGTCTAATTTATATGCATCCACCTGTGTACTTTTGGCGGTAGATAATCTAATTGGTAGGAGGGTTGCAGAATCCATGTCACATGCAAACAGACTCAAGAAATGTTTCTAAAAGTGCTCAAGTGGATGTTTACGAGTTTCACAACAGCCCATGTATTCAAGTCATACACAACAATTATTGCTTTATATCAATAAGTGACTCAGTGCTGCAGAATCCGTGTCACATGCAAACTGACTCAAGAAATGTTTCAAGTCATATCATAGCCACACTTGCTGCTCTCCTTGTAATCATGGATTTCTGATGTAAGCCTTGGGTTGGGCGTGGGAAGTTCTAGGAAATCTCTCATTGAGTTTGATACTAAGGAATTCATAGTGGAATTTGGACGTGAACTGGTTACTCATTGAACTGTTCTTAAAATTTCAGATCTACCAACTGTTTGTTCACATGTTGCATAAAATTTCTTTATGTAAGTGATGGAGGGGGAAGGAAGAGAGAAAGATATTGTGAGAGGGAGATGGGGATGGAATGAACAGAGAATGAATGCTAATGACTATATCGGAAAAAATTAATTTGGGATCTCGGGGATGGTGGAGTATGTTGTGATTAGCCAAGTAGCCAAAGGAGGTTCTATATAGATGATACTGAAGATGCGTGCATATGGTTGGATGATGTTGGAGAGACAATTTTATCTTGTCTTGTCACTCCTCTTTCCCATTCATGTTGTTTTTATTTGTTTGGACAATTGAATAAATTTCCTTAAGCAAAGTTCCTCTTTTGAAGCCTAAAATCCAAATTGACCATATATTGTAAGCGAATAAACAGGTTGAAATCTTTTTGAGTCAAGGGGCCTATGTGAAACCTTTCACAAGATTCAATGGTTGCCAGTATTCTAACTTTTGATTACCAAGTGAACGGAGGGGATGACGAGCAACAGAAATTATTCATGGTTCCACATACTTGATGGCTATACCACACAAATAGCATAAAGTTGACGCTATTTGCTTGGTATAAATATTAGGTATTGCACGAATTATAAATGCTTAACACAAACATGGTGTGCACTTAGCATAAACAAAGATGATGGCATTATTATTTCTACTAACAAATATCAGCTTTGGGGAAGTGCTAAATGGGAGAAGTCTGATTTTTCTAAGAGAGCTGGTTTGAATACGGTCCTGCTAAACTACATCTAATTTTGTCCAGTTTTAATATATCTCTCCACCTTTTACTTGTTTCATTTTATCAACCCCTTACAACTTGTAATCATTTTGTTTTCTGCAGCTGTTTGTAATCCTGTCGTGTACCATTGCAGTCGGAACCAATATAAGCCAATTCATCTGCGTTGGCAGATTCACAGCAGTGTCATTTCAAGTGCTTGGTCATATGAAGACCATTCTAATCTTAACAGTAGGATTTTTGTTCTTCGGAAAAGAGGGACTAAATCTTCAAGTGGTTTTGGGAATGATTGTTGCAGTGATAAGCATGATTTGGTATGGCCATGTCTCATCTCTGCCAGGAGGTAAAGAGCGACGCCAATCTCTGCCCAATTATGGACCGGAAAAAGATGACAGGTTAATAAAATCCAACAAGCTTGATGATGAGGTCTAGTGACTAAATCTTGAAGATAATAGTAAAATGAAGCTAAAAACTTCTAGTTTTAGCAGATTTTCAGTTTTTCTTTACTGCTAAAGTGAGGTTCATTTTACTCACTGGTCAATCATTTACCTACATATTTATTTTCTATAGCAATAACTTTTTAAGTTCTGTGAAAGTACTGTGGACTTTACCATCCAAGAAGATAATTACTCTGAACATTTATTTTCAGGTTGCCTATGCTATACTTGAAGCTGTCTTCAATGCATACCTACTCCTATTTGATCTATGATAGTTGCTATTCTTTATAATTAATATGCTTTCCTAAGCTCCATTACACAACATATAGAGGACAAGAGCGGATGATACTATGAAGGAAAAAGAAGTTAAAATCTTGTATAACTAAACGTGCTTTCATTGTATCTTCAATGCATAGTAAATGCTCTTATTTGACTATGGAAATTGGAACCATGCGAAAAATTCTATGCATTATGATTTTGAAGAAAGGAAAAACAGAGCTGGTATCTGGAAACAGGGGAAATGAAGTGTTCATGCAAACTGCAACTTGGTGATTAATGCTGGTGGCATCTTGAATATTAGAGCTCAATGATAAAATATAAAGCCTAAGATATGCATGCATACGTTTCATATTGAAAAGTCACATTCTATTTTATCAGATCCAAGCTGTGATAGTGTTACGAATGATGAACTCGATATGGAAAGTTCCAATAAGATTTCATTCTTAAATAAAAACAATAATTTCTTGATCGATTTCATTTATTCCATAATTGAACACACAATACATGTTACAGCATGATTTTGAATCAAAAGATAAATTTGGAAAAATGGCATTCATTCTATCAATAATTGAGATGGATATGATATATTATAAAGCTAATTCCTACAGATTGGATCAAAACCAATTCTTGGATGGCGTCATGGATGAACCGAGAAAAAGATAACGATTCTACTTTCACGATAAGAAAGGGAACGAGTGATATAGACACGCACATGCGCACACACGTTGATAGAGACGAATCAATATAAAACTTCAAAATTTTTCTGTTTGTCATGTATTATGTGATCAGAATGTCTGATTAGAGAAAAAAATACTAAGTATAACATAATGAGCTTATGAAAGAAAATACACAGTATCATTACTTATCCTAAACATCATAGATTGAAGGAAATCGAGATACAGTTATAATATTGGGGCTTATGTTTTGATTTTTGTTTTTCTTAAATTAAAAAAAAAAAAAAAAAAAAAAAAAAAATTTATGTTGTATGACAAATTTGGCCCACATATTCACACACCAACCAACATGGGCACAAGTTCGTTAAATGGGCTTTTCCGTCTTGTCACAAACCCACCCCACGCCACACTACAGCACATACCTCCTAACATTTTCTAGGAACTTGATTTGGATGTCCTTAAAAAAATGAGCTATATTACTTTTTAAATAATTAATTGTCCAATATATGATTTTCAAAATTATTTAGTGTAGTAACAAACTATTATTTACTTAACTTATTTTTTGAAAAAAAAAAAACTTTTATGCACATTCAATAATGCTGTTAATTTTATCAAGTCTAAAGTAGAGCAGGATTGGTATTAATGGTGAAGTTAGAGGAAGCAAATTGATCTAAAATGGTGTATATACAGGCAATTCAGTATATATATAGTGGATAGTAATTGTTGGTACATTGAAACGTAACTGTTCATAGATGATTTGTAAAATTTTAAAGTGGAGGCTAATCCTGAAGAATGTCAAATCATTTATGATACATTGGAAGAATATGTACGACCTTTTTAATATCAATAGATTGATTGTTTTGCTCGATTATTATTCAGAACGAAAAAAAGATTTCAAAGAGTTGTTTCTTGAATATGAAAAAGAGTACTTGAGGTCTCGAAATAATTGAAAAGGATTGTGTGTTTGGTTCGTAATGTAGGAGAAATTGGATTGAAGAAAAAGTAATCATAATCCTGTTTGATAGGAATTAAAATTAGGTTTTTAGTATATTCTCATGAAATATATGGTTGAAATCAATTGTTGACTTGACTCATATTAAAATTAAAATTTTAATTTTAATTTTCATCAAATAAGAACTTAATGAAATCATCGTTGGAATTAAGATCTTATTTTTAAAAATGAAGATATTAAATATTTGAAATATGTTTAAACTGTTAGACATATTTAGTTATTGAAATTGTCTGCTCTCATGCATTATGCATATCTTCAACTTTTCATCAAATGTTACATAATGTACACAGTTTTCATAGACAAATTCATTTTTTTTTTTTTTTTTGCTCTATTATTGTGATAGAAACTATAAAATATAACTTAAATGAAAACGCTGAAATGATATGAAATTTGTTGCTGTGAATTGACAACAATATAGCAAAGTGGTCACTGTTATACTCTTTAATAAAATTGTAATGCATAATAATTTATTGAAAAATGAAAAATAGTCCAACTGCGACATGGATTGCTAGCAGTCCATCGACAATGCTTACAAATAACATTGTTTTTTTTTTTTTTTATATGCGAATTATTATAAGGTTACAAATAACATTACTCTTTTACTATATGTGAATTACATAACAACGAAGAGACTAATAACTTATAAGCTCACATATAACGAAAAGTGGGGGGGGGGGGGGGGGGGG